AGCTTTAAGCTGGGTTTGCTGTTTATGGTATAAGAGTCAACCTCAGCATAGAATGCCCTCCACTGCTTTTTCATTTCCACACAGTACTTTATTTACAGCTGTCCACATGAACCATTTTAGCTCTTGTGGCCTGCTAAGTGTGTGCTACATGAAAGGAGAACTTCGGACAATGCCCCCACCTGATTTTCCTACCACTTCACTGAGTTCATGTTTGGGGAAATAGTGCATCTATTTATCTGAGGCACTGGAAGAAGCTTGGGAGAGTAATTAAGATGGGTTCAGGAGTTTCATATGCCATTGATTTTAATTTCAGTATGTTTCCATAGGCCCACCCTGTTGCCTTTACAATTTTCTACACCTTATCTGTAGTCTTATCTTTCCACTCTGTTTTTTGGTTTTTGTTTTTATTTTTACATTTTAAGTCATTAAGTCTTTTACTCTGTCCTGCCTCACGTTTACACTTTGGATCGTTTAGGATCGATGGCATTGTTCCACCTTGCATATGCACGCACGCCAAACTTAACGAATTAGAAGTTTCTTCCTTTAACTTCTTTTTTCTTTGAGCTGGATAAAACTGGTGTGACAACAGCTGTTCATTTGATTAGGCAACTTCTGCAATCTCCAGCAGGAGTTACAGTGCCGGGCATGAGCAGCCCAGTTCATCAGATGACATTAAAAGTGGCGGACCGCATTGCCCTTAAGGTAACACTTATCCCAGCTTTAGCGGCATTAGCATCATGTTAGAGCTAGATGACGCGTCGCGCCTGTCCTCCAAGGGTTGGCTTAATGTTGGTGCTCAGGCTCACGGCAGCACAAGTGGCTTGTGGCTTCAGCTCCGAGCTTAATTAAATGTCACTGGATACATGACGGAACAATACGCTAACTTTTTGTCATAGCTGGGGTGTGTGGTGATTGTGAGCTAGCTCATGACATCTTACCAGAAGCATCTACTCAGCCTCGCCTTTTTCACCATATAGTCTTCCTGTCCATAAATCACCTCCAGCAGCCACAGCTGGGGAAATATCTCACTGGGGGGAATATTTAGCTCTCGTATACCACATACTCGAGTGTTTATATATAGGCTCAGCTTAGCTGTGCTTCAGTTAGAGATGGATCTTAACAGTTAATACAGTTAAGTGCTCTTGATTGAGACTGTGCTCATGCAGAAGGGTTACGTACATCATGTATATTTCTCTGGTTGGCTTCAACCTTCAGAAGCTCTCAGAGCAGCTGCCAAGCATGACTGAATAGATCAAAGGAGCGGGAAACTGAATGGAGGGACGAGAGAGAGAGATAGAAAGAGATGTTCAGATGTTCATACTCAAGGCGAATCCCCATTGTTTGTCAAATCCAATTTCATAACCTGCAATGGCAGAAACAAGCGGTGAACAAAACACTGACGTGTCACGTCACCTTTTAAGCTGATACAGCGAACTTATTAGCAGATGATTACGCAGCCAGCGACACTGCCCACCTGATGAATGCAAATGTTCCCTCTCTTGCCTCTCACTGTGTCTGCGTAAGTGGCTTTGTGGGGCTTTTTCACTAACGGCAACTATACAGTGATGTTGATATTTATTTTCAATTTGCCATCAGAACCTGAGCAATTCATGTCCATGCAATTTTGGTAGCTTAGCTGATGAGAGTTTTTAGGATGGATACAACGACACAGTGTTTTAAGGCTGTTATTCACTAATTGCCTCATTTAGATTCATGATTAGGCAGAAGGAAAAAGGGGTCATTAGCGAAAAAGCCTAAGGTTGTTCATATTTGCCTCACAGATTTGGAGCTGCGCCTGATTTGAATGGCACTGGGGAGGGGGGTGGGGGGGTCCAAAAAATATCTTCAGGCTAATGATGATGAAGGGAAATGAAGCAGGGAGAAGGAGTGTGTGAGATGCTTTTTAGTAGCCACTGTGTCGTTTAATTTTCATGCAAGTCCCCTTTTGTCCGCCGATATGCTGCAGATTCATGTCTACCTTCCATCCTTGCTCCATCCCATCTACATGACAGAACCATTTTCATTTGCAACAGACACAGTGACAGAATATTGATTGTCTGAGCTGTTTTTTCTCCTCCCTGTGCGCATCATTCTTGTCAAAGCTTCCATCAAATATCCAGTTGTCTTTTTTTTTTTTTTTTTAGCTGTTCTTAATCTCATGAGGAGGAGGGATTTGTATGGTTGTGGGGGTTTGTGGGGGTTTTCTTGTTTTTTGGTTGGCTTCTTTTTGTGTGTGCATTTTCTTTTGTCTGTCATCTCTCCCCAGCGGTTCCTCTAAACAGCCAGCCCGCATTGTTCTTTTCAGCTTCAGTAACCCTCTCCATTAACCCTCCTCTTCATTAGGAACCAATTAAAGTGGTAGATGCTCATTGCCAAGCAGCAGTAAGAGGATGTAAAATAATGGGATAGATACAAACTGCACTGCACTTGAACCAAAGGAGAGCAGAGACTTACCAATTTGCCAATTTCTGGAGTTCAGGCCAAATGCAGCAATGCATTTTCTATGCATTTTACACAAGTTAAGCTACATAACTTCCTCTGGGATTCTGAAACCATGATGTAGACAAGCTCACGTCGAATGCTGAGGCAGAGAGACGGGAAAGGTTCAGTTACTAGATTAATGTAAGACAAACAGCCATACGTGTCACAGAGATATGTGGTTCATAAAAGGCATCTCATCCCTGATAAGAAACGTAGAACAAAGGGGAAAACACATCCTATACATTTCTCTCAAAATGCTGCTAGTGGCATTGCTCTGCATGCCAGCAAGGTGCTGGAGTAACCAGATGAGATGGTGTTCACTTTTCATGGTGAAGCCAAAGCAGGCAGAGGAAAACAATCAGCTGGTGACACCATAGCACCTTCACACATATGCTGCAGCTGTCACTTTTATCAGCGTTCAAGATAGAGCCATATGTGAGAATGCACATGTGCACTTCAGTGAGATCATATCATCAATCTTTTAAGCCACATGACAACAGAGCAGCTAAATGTCCGAGCGAGCTAACGGTGACTAGCGTCTCCTGTGCGTTCTGCCCCGACAACAATCCTATACCAAACGGAGTATTTCCTTTTGAAGTTTCTAAGGAGTTTTTTGAACTGGAACATGGATTCAACTCTAACTTCTCTGAGCAAGTACTTGGTGACAGTGGAAAGGAAAACCTCTCTTTTGATTGGCAGAACCGATAGAGGAGGGGCAGCCACCTGCTGCTCACATCAGTTGTAACTACACTGATGCCACCTAAAACTTGGAAATGTTTAATGAGAACAGTCACCACTGTAGTATTATAAAAGTGACAGAAAATAATAAAATAGATCCCGTTTTTTAAGACTAGGTTCTTCTTAAATTAGCGTGGCCAGAGGGCAAAATCTCTTCTACTTAAATGGTACTTCTTAGGTAGTACAGCTACTCCTTTATTTTCCATGAGGTCGACACAGAAGATGGATCTGCATGTTTGATTTGACACAGTTTTTACATCTAACACACGCCATCCCATTTATCCAGGCTAGGTGTCGCCACTCAGACAACACCTTCAAACCATTTTTTATTTTATTTTAAAGTTTTAAAAAAATGTATTAATTTTTTCAATTTGTAACCACCAAGACTGCTTCAGAGAATTCTGTCTTCTGTGTTGATGTGTCATCAAAGGAGAGGTGGCAGTGACTGTGGATGTGACGTCAGTTATAAATTGGTTTACAGTCAACTTTGTCACATGGTGCCGTTCGCCAGGCCCCACATGGCAGTTATAATGGAGCCCTCAGTCAAGCTCAGGCACCCACAACAAAATTGACTTCATCAAGAATGCAGGCTGTGCACATTCAGAAACGGGCTTGTCACGGGAGCTAACACCCACGCCTGAAACACGTAATTGTGAGGATAATGTACATTGCACATCAGTAGGATGTGCAAAGTCAATCATTGTTGGTCTTTTGTTTTGTCTTTACATATTTAGATATGTAAAGTGTTTAAAGAAAAGTTTCCTATCAGTCACGTTGACAGAGAGATCCATGTGTCCATACGCAACGGTCTCTGTTTTTAAAGATCATCATTTGCTGCATGCTTTTGATGTTAGAATCAGCACACCAGCAGAGATCTGGAGTCGTGGGCAGGAAACACAGGCTTCAGAAAGTTTCTGTGCAGCCTGTTGAGGGCAGAAGGTTAGGCTGTATATTACATGTGAAATATGTGATCAAAGAGTTTTTCATTTTTACTTTTTAATGAAAACCAACACCTACTGAGTTGTCACTTTCAGGCCTGTGAAAGGGCAATATGAGACTTGATTTACAAAATGCTTTGATTTTACTTGAGGGTACGCAGCTGACTGGTTGGATGGAATTGCACGCGAGGTGGTGTAATTTTCAAAGGAATCACAGGGTATCAATAAGCTGAATACTGTGTGTCTTGCTCTTGATGCGGGGGGTCTAATTTCCCCCCTCAAGTTGAACCCAGTGTGGCCTTTAGTGAAATAAAAAGAACACCCCTGTCCTAAATGCACAGTTGTCTTCAGCTGCAAAAAGTATTGGCCTAATGTTACACTCTGTATACAACACTGCACCACTTCTGCTCATCTCCAAACTCTCTCTCTCTGTCTGTTCTCTGTGTTTTCAGATCTGAAGAGGGAGGCCAGTATCTGCCACATGCTGAAGCACCCCCACATTGTGGAGCTGCTGGAGACCTACAGCTCAGATGGGATGCTCTACATGGTGTTTGAGTTGTAAGTCCCAGGCTGTGATTCAGCAAACACACACAAAATTCCTCACACCAACACATATGTAGGCTGAAGATAGGTAATGGGGGACGAGTGTCACAGTGGGGCACATCTGTAAGAGAATGCGTAGTGGGGATGGTACAGAGGAAAGAGGACACAGAGCAGAAGGATGACAGTGTGAGGAGGGCGTGGAGAGAAAGTGAACCCTGCAGTGGTTTTATGTAATCAAAGCTGATATGAAAAAGCTTGTTAGATGAGGGGTTTTTTGTGGGGGGGCAGTGTGCAGAGGATGAGTGCAGTCTATATATATATATGAGGGGAGGGGGGAGAAAAAAAAGATGAGATTAAGATTTCACACTTGCTGCTACTTCCAGCTTTTCCAAGAGCTGCATCATCCCCTGGAGCTCCTCCCAGCCTGCTCCGTATCTTCATCTTTCTCCTCTTCCAGAACTAATTCCTTTATCATTTAATTCTGTTATCGCTGAGCAGGCGAACGCTCGGGTTTCGTGCGTAGTTCTATCACATGGCTTGGTGCACCGGGAGAAAACTTTCAAGGATATGCAGACAAGCGCCATTTAAAGAGATTTTCATGGTTTTTGGAGCTCATTTGCACACACACACACACACACACACACACATACACACACTGACACGCTCATGAGACCACAGGCAGATATCGGAGCGCTACGGGCCTTGGAGAGGGGAATGGATATGGGAGTAAATGCAGTGGATAAATGTGGAGGGCCTCGTGCCGCTCTTTTTCTCAGGTCTCACTCCTCACTAATCACAGAGACTAAAATGTGAACGTGGTGCGGTAATAGGAGTGCAGAAAAATATGGATGTGCTGTAGCCAAGTCCTACATCAGAGTCCTGTTTAATTGGCACAGAGACTAAGTGACAATAAAGAATAGGCTTCCAGTAATTGGGAACAGAGCAATTATGAGAGACGGGATCAGCTGTGGCTAAATGGCCTGGCTGCAATTGTGTGCAAGTTGTGTGCATTTGATGATTGTCATTCCATCATCTGTATATGTGTGTGTTTTTTTTAAAACAGCCACCTAAGGAAGACTGAGCCTGTGCGCAAAGGCCTAATTGCCTTAAAGTCTGCTCCCAGCAGCTTAATGATCGCGAGCGCACCGCTTTCCTGTGCATTGAGACGCTGTGGCCGGAGCCTTGTTTCAGCTCGGTTGAGGAGCAGTCGTTTTTAGAGCCGTGCTGTTATTGTGAATCCCTCCAGAGGGCTTTCATGAATGCATCACCATTACAGCAACAGCTCCTCCTCCTGAACACTTGGATCATAGTGGGGAGCTCCATGCAAGTGCTATCATCACTGTGAAAAGAACATGATTGCTTATGATTTACAAAACTGAACCTCGCTTTAGCGTGTAGACTATAAAATTAACCGATTTTATGTGACAGTCAGCAAAAATCCTTCATTTCACTCATTCCCATCCAAATTCATTCAAGAGAATGAATGTGCACCAGTATGCAGTTTTGCCTGTTTTCTCTATGCATAAGCTGCAGAACAAGTCTAGTCTTGTTCAATGGGAAAATCTAAGATGCAATTTATTTATACCAGATTTTGGGAAATCGTTTCAATTATTGGAAATAATTTCCCCGTTCACAAATTTGGTTATAGCAGATTAAAAAAAAAAAGTATAACAAATAGCTTAAATAGGCTGACCAGTATGTAGCTCAATAAATTAGAATGCAGTGTGGCCGAACCAGGAACTAAATCTAATCTAAACTCTAAATAAATACAAGGCAGTAAAATCAGAGTAAAAATATTAATGTATTTCACAGTTAACTAAGCAGAAACAGAATAAAAATTCACTGCACACACCTGTCTAAGAGTCATTACCTCCTCCAAGGACGTATTCACTGTTAGGCTGCTCGACATGACTGAATGTTTTGGTAGTATTTGTTATTATGTCTGTAAACATGAGAGCTTAAAAATGTTTGAATGAATTCTGATCAAACTTTGTAGGTGTGTAGAGTGGGCTCATGTTAACAATCTATTTGTGTGTGCATTACATCCACTGAGATCTTCAAATGGTAAATGGCCTGTATTTGTAATCAAGGTCAGCTTCATGATTTATTGGTTAAAAATCGTCAAAAAAATATTATAAAAACTATGAAGTGTGGTGTTGACATATAGAATATACTGTATAAAGTTTGTCTTTAAACATAGTGTTTTTGCCTAGTTAGTTAGAAACATAATTTAGTGTAATATTAAATAATAATAATAAGTTATTGACGTCCAGTCATTTACAAATCATTACTATTATTCATTACCTACTCACAAATGTTTTTCTAAAAGTAAATACTGCTCAGAGTGGGAGCTGCATTGGTGGAAGTTCTTGTTTGATATTTGTTAGAGTTGTTCGATGAGATATGAAAGATATTCAGAAGCCTTGAATCAGTTTGTTAGAGAACGTGCTGACTGTCCACTGAGTGGTGTAGAAGGTTGTCAGGACTATCCGTGATGGATATCAGTTTGTTCAGTGTCCTCCTCTACATCTCTGCTCTGATGCAGACTCAGCAGACTACAGCAAAGTGTACGCAGCAGTTTGATGGAAAATCTCTAACATTTTCAAGAATCTCGACGACTTTAGGAAATCGAGATGGCTCGTCGCCTTCTTCTGTACAGTCTCTGTGTTAGTCTTCCAGTACAGTGTGTTGATGTGCTGTCCCAGGATAGACGCAGGCTGTTGTGGGACAGCTGATCACCATCTCTCTGGTAGTTTTTACATTTAGAAGTATTTCTGCTACACCACGCCACCAGTAATGCTCTATATCCTTCAATTATACGTCTAGCAAGTTGTTGTTTTTCCTAAGTATTTGACAATCATAAGTTTTCTTATTTTCTTATTGTTGCTTGAAGCTTATCAACGTCATCATCCAGTCACTGATCCAAACTACCTGAGGCCCAACACTGACTGCGTAGAATTTGCTCATTAGGTACAGTCACCAGAGACTGTCTGCTGATGCAGACATGGACAGACTGCTCGTCATTCCTCTTATACGTTCTAGTGCAGTCTCTCCATGGAGAAGACAAAGAAAAGAAAACTGGCAGGCACAAAGTCTCCTCAGAGCCTCGTGCTTACCATTTGAAGATGAAATTTAAGTCACTTGTGGAGCGTAGCACTCACTAACATGGAATCCATGACACGCCTTGAATTCTTAGTCTACATGGCTATGGGTTTCACTGATAGGGCAGCTCAACATGGCTTAGGTGGAGCTGAAATCCCTTATTGGGACAGGAGATTCAATCCAGAGGCTCCTGAAAATACAATTGAGTTATTTATTACAAAGCGGTTTGTGAATATTTGCAGTGGAGCCTCTTTATATTATATTATTTAATTTTTATTTATTCATTTATTAAAGAAGTATGTCTTGTTCAATGTTACAAAAATCCCTGACATCAAGTAGAATTCTAATATTTGGATAAACACTTACAAACATTCAGAAAAGTCGAGTACTACAAACAGAAGACGTTCTACACAGGAAAAAGTAGGTGAAAATACAGCAAAAACGTAGACTGTATTCAAAAGATGGACATAGCCACCACAGCATCATTCAACGGTCAAGTTTAAAGTTTATATGAATCAGATGTACTAAGTGTACGATGTGTCTGACTGAGAAACTCACAGCATGCTCATACGTTTGCAACCTGTCAGTCAAAAAGTAGCCAGGCGACAAATCACGACCTGCTTCACTTTCGTTTTAGTTTAAATAGGACATCGAGTGATAGATACGATTTAAAACTGGTGAATGAGACCATAAACAAACCAGGAAAGTCTTCACCGAGATCATAGGTCCGATTGTATAGCTGACTACATATTATCTTTTATATACTGTCTGTACTTGCTTTGATGTTCTTGGTGGGGTACTCTGACCTGCTGAGCTAACTTTTTCATGAGATAAGATCGGCTTCATTTAGCTCCGTATTTATCTGTTTATAGTAATATTTTATGGGTCTTTTACTGTATTTAAATATTCCCTCAGGGTTTCAAATAAGGTTTAGGTAAAATGTTTTTGTATATTTTATTAATCCCCTGTAGAAAATTACTCTCTGCATTTAACCCATTCACTCAGTGAAGCAGTGTGTAGGGACGGTACCTTGCTCAGGGGTACCTCAGGATTTGAACCCCCGATCTTCCTACTGAGCTTTCTCCTCCCCCAATAATGGTGCTATGAAATACACTTTTCTACTTCCTAACTCTTAATAGTTTCAGAAGAGAATGCTGAAGCATAGCAGAGGCTTACAGAAATATTACCAGCATCATAGCAGCTTTTTTTGTGCTACATGTAGGCGAGCTGGTCCAGCTGTGCCTACCTCAACTCGCAGACGCTAAACACAATTACTGCTACTGACCTGTTTCTCCCATTTCACCTTCACAGCCAATCACAAAGAAGCGCAGCACTTGAAGTTTTAATAAGAATGGCCTTTCCTTCTTACTTGTATTTGTGGCCTGACCTTCATGCTAGTCTGACCCTCTCTCACCGTGAGTCTCTTTCTAATTTCTGTGTGTGTTAGTATGGATGGAGCAGACCTGTGTTTTGAGATCGTGAAGAGGGCAGACGCTGGCTTCGTCTACAGTGAAGCCGTGGCCAGGTGAGATGTTATGGCTTTGATTTACTTCCCTGAAAGGCTTCCTGATGCTTTTTTAAAATTATTTGAATCAATATTTGCAACCCTGATTTACACAAACACTTAACTCTGATGTAACAATGACCTTGCACTTTCTCTCCCCCCCCCTGCGTAGTCACTACATGAGACAGATCCTCGAGGCGCTACGCTACTGCCACGACAACAATGTCATCCACCGAGATGTCAAGGTATTTTTCATCTGCTTAGGTGTCCAACTACGAAGTGCAGCAGCCCACATTTGAAAGTTCAGTTGTTTCTGTTGTCACGTGTGTTTAAATGCAGTTTATTTTATTACATTTTCCTGCATTTTGGTGATGCATACTAAGTGATTAGACTTTTATCTAGTTTTGTCCAGTTTTGCTGTTTGCTAAATTAGAATTGTTGTGGCTCTGGATTGGCTTGTCTTAAATTTCCAATCCAGCTTAAATGGCCTGTATTTGTATAGCGCTTTACTTAGTCCCTAAGGACCCCAAAGCACTTTACACTACATTCAGTCATCTACCCATTCACATACTGGTGATGGCAGCTACATTGTAGCCACAGCTGCCTGGGGCGCTCTGACAGAGGCAAGGTTGCCAGACACTGGCGCCACTGGGCCCTCTGAACACCACCAGTAAACAACAAGTGAAGTGAACGGGTGAAGTTTCTTGCCCAAGGACACAACGACCGAACCGGCAACCTTCCGATTACAAGACGAACTGCCAACTCTTGAGCCACGATCGCCCCGCTAAATACTTTTTGGATTGTTGGCCACAAAAAACAATTGGGTAGGTTGGGTGGTTGTACAGTTGACAAAATTCTTGACCTCCCCAAGTTTATTGAATCCTTGCAGCGCGGAGGCAAAAGCAAACATTTTCTATAAATGGGAATGGTGCAACATCAACTGTTAAACGTGTGACCGATTTATTTTTTTTGCCCATAAGTAAGTTTGCTAATAATGTTGGTTGAAGCTAAGAGAAGCAGTCAACGGAAAAAATAATAGCGCTGCTTTAAAACATTTTATTTAAATTTAAAAAACCCACAATGGTGGGGAGGGAAACAAAGAGTGACTGGCTTCTTTTTCACAGGCCGTTCCAGTGTTTATCTGTCTCACACACTCGACCAAACAACAAATACAAAATTAAACAAAAAGGTAAAAATCAAAATGTCTCTTCCAGAAAATATATTAATACTGAAACAAACAAGAAAAGAAGGTAAAATATTCCCTCCAAACAAAACGTATAAATTCTAAATGTGCAGATCTGGTGTCTATATCGCCTTCGTCATTTACTGGACTGACAAATGCCGGTTGGAAAATTTTTAAATATCGCCCAACCTTAATCCTCCTACAGTGTTGGTCAGGTTGTGTACGTGAAACACATACACAGTAACTACATGGTGGGTCTTCACCCAATTTTTGCTTAAGGTCACATTTGTTGTTTTACTGGCTCTTTTTGTACGTTCACATATATTCAACCTTTTGGTGACCGTATTTACTACTAACCACATAGTTTTTATACTTCTGAGTGAAAACACTTTCGACTGGTGGTGAATGACATTAGTTTCGTCCTGGATTTGACTGATTGTCACCCATGCCAACTTCTCAATACACTTTCATTTTCACAATGACAAGCAAAGTTTCGCATTCTTTTTTGTACTTCACACAGTTCATTAACCTGTAAGTCGTGGTGGGTCATAATCTGGGTCAGCCGCAGCATTATTGGCACTCTGGTTAAGTATGCTGTTTTGACAGCGTTTGGCTAGCTGCTTGTTTCCTACTACCTATCAACAAGCTCTGTAACATTTCAGAGTGGACGAGCCATTTGCTCGAGTTTTGAAAGCTAAGAGACACGCTTTATCCTGTCTTCCTTTGTTCTCTCCAACCAGTTGCGGCAGATGGCCACTCCTGACCTGGTCCTGCTGGAGATTTCTTCCTGTTAAAAAAAAAGAGTTTTTCCTCCCCACTGTCACCAAAACGTTTGCTCATAAGCGGTCATATAATTGTTGGGGTTTTCTCTGTTATTATATATTATTGTAGGGTCTTTACCTTACAGTGTAAAGGGCCTTGAGGTGACGCTTGATGCGATTTGGCGCTTACTGCATCCATGATTGATGGGGTTGCACCAGTTTACCACAGTGCACTTCCACCAATTCCCCACCCAACCCCACATTCGAATGATTGGGGCAGTTCAACAGTGTAGAGCTGTTAAATATGAAGCAACAACAGGAGTAAAGGTTTGATTTGTATTAGCCAGTCACTTGACACAGTTTCCAATATGTTTTAAATTGAAAAAATTAAAGTTCAGTTAGAACTAATGTTTGAAAAACTGTAGCCCTTGAGTACATATTTAGGGTTGAAAGAATTTGAGTAACAAATGGACATGTTTTTCACTGCAGAAGACAGAGGGGAGGAGATTGGTTGGCTGTTGTTGGCTCTGGTACCAAGCAGGTCCACAGCAGTACAGCTCTTCTGCGTGAGGCTGTAATGGAAAAGAATGTCAGCAGGGCTTCTCTCGAAACACTGCGGCTAAAGCTGACATAACAAGCTAGGAGGGGAAACTCTGTGGATCAGTTGTGCTGCTGCTTATTTTGCTCACGTCAGACCATGTAGAACTGGTCTGACATGAATGATGAATGAGTGAGGAATGTGTGATCGAAAGTAGATCAGTGTATCATTCTGCTTATGATGCCTTTTGCATCTAAAGTAGTCTTCTGCACTCTCTCAGTTCCCTGTCGTTGTGTGGAAATGAGAAACAATAGAGTTGCTAGTGGGTGTGGTTGGACCAGTGTCACACTGATTCAGTGACTCTTAATGTGCTTAAGCAGAGAAAGCTAATGCTATTACTGTTTCAATTAGTTACATGAGGGTTGAGTTATTCTGTAACATGTCCTGACATGCAGTGACCAGTATGCCCCTTTGGCTGCACTCTCTGACACACTCCCTATCGTAAAGAGGCTCTTACTGCTGGCCGTGGGGGTCATACTTTTAACATCACTCTGGGTTGTTTACTGCTAGCTTTGCGTTAGCTGTCTGTGCAGTTGCTTGCAACAGGCTGATGTATTATCAGCAGTTGTTTCTGGCCTGGACATAGTCTGCACTTACTGTCGCATTCTCAGCTTTTCATTGCTTCACTATTTTCCTCCTCCCTGAACACAAACTGAAATCAGCTGACTACGTTACATGTGCACAGCGTGGAAAAGGCATGCATGATTTTTTTCTCTCTCTCTCTTATTGTGCAGATAACTGAGGAACCTTGTAGCAAAAGTAATGACACAACTGTAACTATACTGTGACTACAGTAAGGGAAACTGATCATGTACTTTAGATGTCATCACGCTGCTAGATGAGGACAAATCAGCATCAAGGCTCCTCCACCGGGATCACAGTCAGACTTGGTGTGGGATATAAAACGCTTTAATCAGATGTCATGTATACAAAGTGAAGCAACTCGTAGTGCTGAGTGTTCCTAACGAAGCTCTGGCTCCAGCCTGCTGTGTGATACATGGCAGTAAACAGTGGACTGGCAGCTCCTCTATAGTTTGTGCAGTGGTAAATCTAGATGTCGTGATATGAGAATTCTTCATGCTACTGCCGTGGGATTGATATGTAATGCCTTCTCTTACGTTTCCCGTCAGTATCTCTCTAACACCGTCTGCAGCTATTTGATTATGTGCGTGCCTGTGTGAAAAGGTCAATGTAATCGCTTGCGTCAGTGTGTCAGTTGTTTGATTGCACGTCAGTCTTTGGTATTTGTGTGTGCTGCAAGCAGTAAGTAGCTATTGTGTCAGCCAGCTTTTATGACAAGTAGAGCTAGCTTAGGGAAAAAAGAAAAGAAAAACTGTTTTGCATTCACATACCCTGCTTCACATTTTTCTTCAGTGTAAAAGCACTAAAATCCCCTCTGCAGTTAGTGAGGTTAATGCTTTTACGAGATATTCACAGAGCTTAATTAGAACACTTTAATATAAGTACTTTACTGACTTGGACAAGGCCCATATGCATATTTTGTCACAGTCAGCTCCCAGCTGTTGTATTACTATCTCTCTCTTCAGCATTGTGCCTTGGTATTAGTCATCATAGTCTATATAGTCATATCTCTGTCTTCACTCTGCTGCGCCCCTACATGGATCCCTGCTGAATCACCAGCTTAGTCTTATTGTCTTGATGTGAGCGATACCAGCCTGTGAGTTTGGAGGGGCATGATGAGATGATAAAGCTGCCTGTTTGCAGTGATAGTAGGTGTTTCAGTGCCATTCACTGAATTACAGCCTTTTTTATATACTGTCCACACATTTCAGCAATTTTGCACAGAGTGAAATCATTGCCTAAAAACTGTATTTTATAATGCTAAATAGAGTGGTTACTACTACTACTACTACTACTACTCTACCTGAGCACTTTATACAATATCCCTTATTCAGCCATTCACACCAACATAAGTACATAGTACTTTCTGTCTAACATCCAGACACATCCAGTGCATAGGAGAGCAACTTGGGGTTAGCATATTTGGCATGGAATCAAACCACCAACCTTCCAGTTGAGCTACAACTACCCCCTACTACTTTTACGTCCTTCTCTGTGATCTGGTTGTATTTGTGACAGAGTAGTTATATATTCTACTGACTGTTTTATTTCTGGAGTTCAGTGAACCCCATTATTATCCAAAATCCTGTCAAAGTCCTTTTCATTTTATATTTACATTATTACTCATCGACATCATTGAGCATTTAATCTGAGGAGCATAAAAATGGTTGCTCAGATCCTGCCATGATGTTTCAGATGTCAGAGTTAGCTTTTAATTTGACTTTTGTCGTTGTTGTTGTTGATAATTTTCCATCTGATGTGCAGCATCTTAAAAAGTTTTAATTACTGCACTTCATTTCTGTGGTAAAAACTTGGTTAAATACCATGTTGGTATGTGTATCGCAGCCTCTGTGTCAACAACTTTTCTCGTATGGAGAGTACAGAGTAGGTGTTACCGACACTGTGCTGGTGATCAGCATGTTTGTCTGCGGACGCATTTAAATTCAAGGCTTGTTGTTTTTTGGCCTTGTATAATGTGTATATCTGTATAACGCTGTTTAAATGTAACACAGTGACCCAGACCGCTCAAACTGAAACAACAAATGGAACTCACTTCCTCCTGCTTGTTGTTTCTCCTATTTGTAGTCTCATGTAAAATGTCTCACAGTAAAGGCGGAGAAT